TGAAGGACTGAGGAAGAGAGGGACACCCACTGACTTTACGAGGAACAATGAGTCCCATGTCTGCTACTCAGTCTTAGAACTCAGAGCACCCCAAAACAAATCCACGAAACAACTACACAGTAGATAGAGGCCCATGAATTTTTGTAGCTGTTCAGGGCTTAATTACTCCTCCTTGATCCATGGGACTAGACACCACATCGCCAAGGTTAAAATGCCCCGAACAGCGCCGAGCAGATGTGAGCGAGCTGGCAGACGCGCAAATGAGGCCTGCCTTGGAGCACGATAACAAGTGACTAATACATTGCATATCGTTGAAAGAAAATTATTTTTCTCTAATTTGCATTTGCTTGGGGGTAAAAAAAAAAAAAGCCAAGCAAGTCCCTCCTCACAAGCATGAGTCTAAATCCTGGAAATATAGCCCTGCTGCTTTAAGAGAGCTGGAAGGAGGGAAAGACTGCCAGTGTTTTGGCGTTGCAGGCTTGTTTATCTTTCCGCCTTCCCTCCAAGGCGAAACTCGTTTTGCAAGCAACATTCCTACAGAAAATGGCACACGTCATAAAAAGAGACCAATTTATAGAACTGGCACTGAAGTTCATGTATCACTCCAGAAGCATCTCCCAGCTCCCCAAAGGGAACCCAACTAGTTGGAGAAGTCCACACTAGAACTTGGAGGGTAGACCTGGGGATGAACTACATTTGTAGTATACTGTAGGCTGCATTCCCAAGGGCCACAGTCGCACAGGTCACACAGAACACAGATGGGCAGAATATAGAATTAAGTCAGCCCTAAATAATGGTCCAAGCCCCAGGGGTGGTGGGGTGGCCAAACCTTCTACCCTAGGACTCCTGGGGAAAGAGGACTGAAGGTTTACACCCAGTTTGCCCCAGGACAGCACAGGAAGGTGATGGCTGCCACCAAGTGCCCTCCTCCCCAACCCTGGGGGCCTGCCAGGAACTCAGAGAAGGCCTGAGGCAGTGGGCATCTAGTTAATGCCACAAAGTAGGTGGCGTTCCTGAAAGGCCTGAGGACTGTACCCTCGCTGCTGAAGGCAAAGGTGTGGTAGAAAAAGGGAAAGTTAAAGGACAAGAGTCACCAAAAGCCAACCTGTACCCCTTCCTCAGAAATACACCCTCATTTGGGTCCTGAACCCTACCCACTTGCATTCCCACATGGGAAACAGTGACCAGAACACAATGCCCGCCTCTCTCTAACTTGTGTGACTAAGAGGACCATTGCGGAGGAGAACAGCAGCCTTCAGAGCCTCTGCAACCTCCAGGAAGCCTTCAGTTACTAACACATTCTTTTCAATAAGCTTACTTAGGGAGGTGGAAGTTATTTTCCAAATCTTACAAACTCTGTCACAAGCAGCTGAGGACCCAGGTCCATGGTTCCTAGCCAAACCCCTCCAGAAAGTGACACTCACAAGCCTGTGGGTCTTCTCCAGCCACCTCTGCCTAACAAGTTCCCTAAGACAAACAACCCCACCCCTGCGAAGCCACAAAGGTGTGTGCCAGCGGGGATGGGCGTGCGGGGTGTCCAGGAGCGTGCGTGCTGTGCTACCTTTCTTTCTCTTATCTGAGGACAAGCTGGCCAGAAAGTGCTGGCCACCTCTGCAGCTCCTGCACGGGCCTGCGGGTCTGCATAGTGCGCGCTTTGTGTAAGTGCTGAGGAGGCGCAGCGCTGCTCGCGCGCCAACAGCTGTCACATTATTTGCACTCGCTGTAAACAGCCTTCACATTCCCCCCTTACCACATAGTTAAAGCCAGACTAACAATCCACAGTTAGAGATCAAACCAACAACAGCAGCATTGTGTCTGCCTTCGCCTTCGCACCAAGCCCAGCAGCTGGCAGGTTTCTCCGGAACAAGGGACCCCTGCTCCCTCCACCCCTTCAGGCTCCAGCCAAGGCCAGCCAAAGAAGCATGGGTTTGTCAGTGCTGTTTGTTAAAGCCAAAGAGCACCGCCATTTCGCAGATTTCTCCGTGGTCTATCGGCCCTCTCTCAGAGTTTGCACCTTTTGGTAGCCTGGGGAATCCTGATGGGAAGAGAGGTTGCTCAGATTCCCAGGACACTCAGCCAAGCCAGAGTTGGCCTGCCCTGGCCAGGCTGGGGTGGGGACTGGGAAGCCAGCGGCTCTGCACTTTGTACAGCCCCATCTAGGACAGCCTCTGGTCTTTTAGAAATTGCTCAACTCACTGAATACTTATTGGTCGCCCCACTGATCAAAATGTCTCCTTTATGATTTTTGGTTAAGTTGAACATTTCCATAATCGTCATTATTAGCGCAAATTACACGCCTAATCGGTCCTTAAATAGATTTTAATTAAATAATCATACAAGGCTCATTTTATGACTTAAGAAAGGCATTACTTTTCGTTATAAACTTTCACCAGGATATGGAATAACGATAACAGACAAATACTCTGAAAACTGCCAACAACCAATGGGCAGACTAGCCTGAAATGGAGCCTATAGTCCCTCCTGGGGCTGAAGGTGAGACCAGATACATTGTAGCGGCACAACTTTCCTCCTGGGATGGGAGACCGGATCTCTTCCTCCCCAGCGCTACTTTGTCTTCTCTTTGGCTAGGAGAAATAAACCCCCTTAACCATCTGGAGAGGTTTCTCCAGCTAGTTACTTCCAGAGGGTACACCACCCCCCCACCCCCCACCCCCCGTCCGCTGAGAGTAGTGGTGCAAAGCAGGCAGGCTGTGCTCGTTAAATGCTGTTAATAAAATAATAAATACAAAGGATGGAGGCTGCTGGGTCCATGGGTGTTTTGACTAGAAATGCCTTGGCACTTGTCAAGTGTTTACGGGAGGGCAGACAACTCTAGGATTTACATGGTTTGGACATTTCTGTACTTCATTTATTCTTTCCTAAATGACGTAGGGCTTGAGCTATTTCAAGTTTGCATTCGTACATAACTGTGAAATGCCTAGGAGTTTCTCCAATTAAACCAAGTTTTAAATCAGACCCAAAGCCTGAGCATACTCTCTAGCTTGCCTGACTCCACCCTCAGCCTCTCGGGATGGAGAAAACAAACAGACCCTCGAGAACAATCCTCCGGTCCTCGAGCTCCCCCCACCCCCAGGGCTCCCAGGGCAAAGGTTAAGGCGTCTTCAGATTCCAGGCCTGGCTGGGCTACATACTGGCAATCATCGCAGTTAGGCGCATCCTGTCCATACACTACCTCTAAAACAGTGAGCTAAAATGGGGGCAAAACTGCTGGTCTGGTAAAACCCACTGCTCACAAAACAATGTCAGCAAAGGCTGTAAGGCGTGCTTTAGAGGGACCAGGGATTCGTGCCTACTGAAGCTCTTTCAGCACAAAGGCTTTTAGGGGAAGAAGGGAAAAAGAGGGGGGAGGGGGAGAGAAAGGGAGGGAGGGCTCCTGTTTCAGAGCAGGCATCCCCTGAGAGTCAAGAACCAAGTGTAGCTTCAATCAAACGCTGACTTCCCCTTTGGGAGTCGAGTAGGAAACCTGATCACAGTAGCTTACTACCGGCCTGGATCCATACAGCTCTGGTTTTCTTCTCATGCTAGTAATTCTTTTAAATACATATCGATATAAAAGAAGCAATCCCTGGCAGACTTTATTGAAAACTATACTGAGTCCTCATAACATCCGGACTTAATCCCTATCAAACAAACCACAGCACCTCTGGCCTCTGCAGCAGTCCACCCCTTCTCACCTCTTCCAAGCAGGTCTCTCCCCTCCATCTGCTCCTGTCTCTATCCGTGAAATAATGACAGGAAGACTTACCAAAGAGCACCTATACCGGCTCTGGAATCAATTCTTAACCATATAATGATCCCACTTAGGGAAGAAAAAAAAGCACAAATCCCTTCATATGGAATCCTTTAAAAGGCAGAATGCAAAGAACTGTAACAAAGGGAAAGAGGAACCCACATAGAGGGACCCAGCGGAATAACCTTGAAGGGGACTTTTAACCTGCATCCTTGGTCCCTGGATACTGGCCTGGCTGGTCTCAGGGGGTCTTGGGGCAGCAGGGAAGAGAGCAGCAACCTACAGGAACATAACCAGTCATTCAAAGCAATTATTAATCCTTGGGGCCTACTATGTGCCAAGTACTCTTCTTTGATCCTAAAGGTGGATAATTATTCCCAGTCTTACAAATGAAGAAACTTACTGAGGCTCAGAGACCATAAATAACTTGCCCCCAAGGTCACACAGCTAGTAAAAATGGGCCACGGTCAAACTCAGTCCTGGAGTTGCGGAGAGGAGTCAACTACTGTTCTACTTATGCCATGTGAAATCCCTATTTTCATATACTGTCTCCTCAAAGGAGTTTGGAAGGGTTCTCAGGCCTTGCACACCCAAGCACAGACTTAAAAGACAAGCACCTAACGCCTATGGGCTCAGCCCAGAGTGAGCCCTAAGAGCCCAGTTTCTCTTACACCCAGTCATCTCTGGGTCCACTCAAAGTGTTTCACAATTTCCCCCTACATCCTACAAATCTCCCTACACTGAATTGGCCTGATGTGAGGCCAAGTCTCAACAGGACACTGGTTTCTTTCCCTTCCTCTGATAGCCCAAAACAGACAGGGTAGGTGGATAGGCCAATCTCGGGTCTCGGGAAAAGTGCTGACTATTGGTACTAGGAACTGAGCTTGCCACCCTAGTTTTGCCACATAAAGCAATAAATCAAATTATCTAGACAGAGCAAAAGCCTTTTGGAAGGAGCTCCTACACCTATGTCTCCTAGAGCTTAAAGGAAAAACCTCAGGGACCGAAGTGCGGGGAGAAGAGGGAATTTGGAGAACCAGCTTGCAAGATGTCAGGCCCTAGTGGATCCTCTAGGGTTCCCACAAAACGCCAAGCCCAGAGGCAAGTTGGGGGTCGGGGTGTCTTTTCTTTCCCCAATCATTCCTCCCAAAAGCGCTAGGCAACAAATCTCTGGGCCCAACAGCTCCTCCGAACGCCACTCCCAATTCCTAGATGTGCCCCGGGCTTTCAGATACTCCGGGAACTACCTACGCCCGACGTCGGCAGGTTCCAGGGCCATCTCCAGCTCTGCTCGGTGGGGACGGGCAGAGGCACAAAATAGCCGCCCGCTGGCTTCCTAGTCGCCGACCCTTCGCTCCTCCAGACGGACACCGAAGCTCCGGATGTATGAAATGGCCCCGCGGCGCGACAAAGAAGGCAAGGGCCTCAGCGGCTGGAGGGACGGAGGGCGACTGCGGCGCCGGGCGCTCACCCTGCCCGCCAGCGGAACACGCCCCCGCGGCCCGGCGGCCCCTGGCTCCGGGCCAGCCCTCCGCAAGTGGCTTTCTCTTTCTTTTTTAAACTTTCCAGCCAAGGCGAGCAGGCCAAGTTTCCAGACGTCCCTTCCACCAGCTCGGGGGTGGGTCTCCCAACCCCTCCAGGGAGGGGTCACCTCCTCCTCCCCCCTGCCTCCGGCACAGCTAGCCCGGGGCCAAGGCAGATTCCTTCCCCCACCCCTCCTACTTAGGCCACCTGGAGCGGGCAGCCTCCAAAGCGAGCGCCGTCCAGTCGAGCCTGCGACCGCAGCGTCCGGAGAGGAACTCCCCGCAGCCCCAACGGTGCAGGCCGGTCCGCCGCTCCCGCGCAGCGCCCCCTCCACACTCACGCTTTCTGCAAAGGTCTAACGCTTCGCGAGGAGGGAGGGGAAAGAGAGAGGCGGGAAGGGGGAAGGGCTGCCCTTTTTTGTTTTTTGTTTTTTTTTTAACTCTGCAGAAGCTAGTTTTTGGTGTCCCTGGCACGATTTCGAAGCCCCAGCAGAACAATAGGAATGGGGGGATAGGGAGTGCCAGAAACGGTGCAGGAAGACCCCCCCCCCCATAAACCTCCCCTCCCGATCACAGTTATTATTAGCTTGGAAAGACTCTGGTACCTTAACTGTAATAGTGCCTCTTTATAACTTTCCCTGAACGTCCCCCTCCCCACATTAGGAAACTACAAAGGCAAAAAGATCGCTCGCAAAGTTGTGACCTCCTGAAGCGTGAGCCTCTCACCTGCTCTGCCCCAGGCTCCCTGACCTGACTCACCTCCCTCCCCCAACAGTTCCCCTGTTTTGCACCTAGACAATAAATTTAGTTTAATTTAGCTTCCGGTCTTTAATTTTAGCAGGTCTCCTTTTTGCATGCAAATCAATATGGCAATTACCATCTAAAAGCTCGCCCAGCCCCGGGTCAATGTAAATTGATCATTGTCCGCCTTCCACAAAATAACACCGGGAGTCTGTGGTGCATAATGAGATTATACTGGAAACTGTCTTTTAGATCACAAATTATATTTTATGCTGTCAGGATCTTCTCCAAGCGGACTTCCCGCTTGTCTAATCACAGGGAGCCCAACCCCTGGATGCTGGCTGGGGAGACAAGGCTCCAAAAAAAACACACAGCCCCCCCCAAAAAATCCACACACCTCAACAAAGTGAGGACCCCGGCTTTTGAGACCCTGTACTCGGGCCACTTGGAGATGTGCTTGTTCCCCGAGAGAGGGCCCTTCGATAGAAAGATCGCACAACAGCAGCGTTAATGATGAACTCCTACCCCCCAAAGTCAGATATCCCTTCCTGTGGTGTAGAAAGCAATTAGAGAAAACTGTAGGGGGCTGGACATCAGCACCCCCCCCCCCAGCCGATAAATGCCGGCTTGGCCACCACGAGGATAGAGAATGCCAGTCACTCCAGCACTTTGCCTTCTCTTGACTCCACTACCTAGGCCCTCACCGGGGTGGCTAGCTTTACAAACAGACGGTAAGCCCTCTGCCACAAATACTGGCAAAGAACCCGGGCGGGGCGGTGGCTCCCCGAAGCCTCCCTACCCCAGTCTGGGCGAGACCCTCACCAGACCTGATCCTTGAGACTGGCAGACCAGGCTGCGATGCAAAGAGTAGGACTTCTCCCCAAGAGCACAGCTCTCCCGACCCTCCGCGGCCCCCGGGGCACGGGTGTAACCCCAGGCCTAACAAAGAAGGCCTTCTGAGCTCCTTTTGGCCTCGGGCCGGCGGGGGAGGGGTAGGGCGCTGTGGCCGAGGTGGACCCACCAGTTCCACCGCCCCACCGCGCCTAGGTGGCTCGTTAGGCCAAGCGCCCTCGAGAAATGCACCAGGGTGGCATTGTCACAGGGGCACCCCAGAAGACCATCCTCGGCTTGAGGTAGCACTTCGGCCTTTCGAGCCTTCTGCCCAGCACTGCTCCGCCCCTCCCGGGCTCCACCTAAGTGCGGTCTTCCCAATAAAAGCTGGAATTCCCGGCTGGGCTTAGACAAAGAGGGTCCGCGGCAAATCGACGCCGCGGGCAAACTAAACCCTTGCTGGAGTTTACATGCGTGTCTGGGGTCACCGAGGTGCCTGCTAATCCATCCTACATAGGCCGTCCCCGCCATGGTCTCCTCCAGCAAAAGAAGAAGAAATTAAAGCATGCCCAAATGAAAACATACCTTCCTCCCGTTTATTCCTCCAAAAGGCCACACTTCTTTCATTTCTCTTTCCCAGTGCGCCAGGCCCTACCCTACCTTAGCCAACAAGACCCCAGCAGTGCTACATCTCATCCCTATCACAAAGTAGCAAGCTACTCCTTTTTTAAAGACACCACCCAGGGACCCAGGGTCATGAACTCCAAATCTCTAGCACCCCTCCTACCTGCTCAGCATACACCCTCCTGCCCAAACTAACAACAAGTAGCCCCACTTAACTTTGGGAAGCAGCTCTACTTTGTTTTCCTTCTAGCAAAAACATTGTTTCCCTGTGAATTCTGTTATGAATGTGGCTGTGTGGCCCACACTTCCGTACCCACGTTGGTCTCACTCTGCAGGAAAGTCTTCAGCATTGAAAAGGTTTTGTCATTCAGCCTGTGCATCTAAGCATGGATGTATGCATATGAATGCTTTTTGTGTTTCCAAGTGACCCTCTTCACACCTTTAAATGGACTTTTTGTCTCTGAAACACACTTACAGAAATTCTGCCCCAGTTTCCAGCTCAATCAAGTCTGGGAACTTTCTCTTAGAATATGGCTACACATTTCTGTATTTGCATACCCATGTTTACATTCCTCTTGGCCTGTTCTTTATCTCTTATGTATCTATCTCTTGTTCCATTTGGACATTGGAGGCCAAGTGTCTTGATTTGTCGCAGCACATGTCATTCAGGCACACATCTTAATCTGAACATGCCTGTCTACCACATACACCTCCCTTCTACTTACATTCTTCTAGCTTTGCCTATAATGTGGCTCATTCCCAGGCCAGACCAGTACAGGTTTGTAGTTTAAATGTAAATCTCTTAGGCCACAAACCCTTACAAGAATGGGAGAAGAGGGGGCAGGAGACAGTGGAATGTTAGTAATGAGTTATTTACGCATAGGGTAACCCACTCACCAATTTCAAGCTCTGGGAAGAACTAATGTCTGCAGAGTTGTAGTAAATTGTTAGACCAATTCAATATTAGCCCCATATGTTTATATACAAGTGATGGATCTCATAACGCATCAGTGTCCAGACTACTCCTATTTGAGTCTGTCTCTAACCATATCTGATTCTAACTCTCCACAAGTTCATGGTTAAAAGTATCTATTTATATAGACAACAATTCAAGGACCCCCCCCCCGTTCGTGTTCTCTCCCTCTTTCCCCACTGCATACCTGCACATCCTGGCCTAGCACCTCAGGCTCAGGTCCTTAGTCTGCAGCAGTCTCAGGGAGAGGCCCCACCCAACTCCAGCTCTGTGCCGACCTTCCTTTACTTGAATGACAGTAAAAATTCTGAGCTCTACATCTGTGCCTCCCAGACTGTTCCTTAAGTGAGGTGCCCATTGTGTGTGTTCACAGCTCCCCCACTGACAAGCACCCGGTCAAGCTAGATCATTTAAGCAGCTGCATTTGGTTTGTCGAAGAATCGAGCCCAATGCGCCAGGATGTGACCAGGCAAACATAGAGAAAGGAAAATCCTAGGCCCAGACTCCCCACCCCCACCCCTTCCGCGGGCTACTCTAGCCTCCAGAAATCTCTCTGGGATTCTGCCCTCCTTCCGCAGTGCACTACCTCCACCGCCCTTAAAGGGTTAAGAGAAACCTCGCAGCCTTCCTTCCACCCGGCTCGCTGGGCCCTCAGACTAGCTCGTTCACTCGCTGCTCACGGGAGTCTGCTGCCATCTCCGCGGCCCCCCCGCCCGTCCTTCAGCCGGGAGGGAGCCTGCATGCCTGTCTAGACCGATCTATCACCGGCACACCAACAACACCCGCGAGAGGGCGGAGACCCTGCCCAGGTCCTCTGGCCCGCACGGTTCACGGCGGGCAGAGTCCGAGGAGCGTGACGGTGCCTGTGGGATGGGGGCGGGGGGGCTACAGGCGCTGGCCTCCCGGAGTCCTTCCTCCCCAGCCGCTGGCCCCCGCGCTCCCACCAGCCCCGGCTGCCGGGGGACAGTCTCTGCGCGCTGGCCAGTCCTATTTTTATCTTGTCTAATCCCAAACTGGGCGGGGAGCACAGGCGTCGTGCTTAGAGAACAAGAGATAGGCGAGGGAGGCGGGGAGGAGCAGCTAGGCAGCGACGCGAGAGGGAGCGAGTTAAAGACACAGCGGAGGCGACCGCGAGCAGGAAGAAAGAGCGGGCTGCGCGGGCCTCGCGGCGCCGCACGAAACGCGCCGCCCCGCGAAGTTACATTCGCCTCCCTGCTGTCCCTGGCTGCCGTTCCCTCCCCGCTTTCCAGCGGCGCTCTCCGCAGCCAAGACCACGGGGCCCCGGCCTGTGTGGGAGGCGGAGGCCAGGCCTGCCCCGCAAAGGGCTGGAGAGAATCGCTAATGAGCTGCGCGGCCCATTGATCCAGAGAACACTTCCTAATTAACTCTCAGTCACCTACTGGTGACAGCGCCTCAAAGGACAGCACTGGGGCCGGCCGAGCCCTAGCCTCGACTTGCCGGCCAAGCGCCTGGCGCCCCAAACCCGCGCGGTCCCCTAACTACGCCAGGCAATTCGCGTGCGTGACGGAATATACCCGCACGCTTAAGGCCATTCTCGGATTAAACCAGGACGGCATATTAATTATCGCCTCCCGCCTTCCTCTACGTGCTGAAATCGTGCCCCAAACAAACCCGAGAGCCAACCCTGCAAAGCCCAGACCAGATAAGTCGGGGGTGGAGTGGGAAGGGTCGAGAAGTGAACCTTACTCCCCAAGTGTCCACGTACAGGCGTCTCTGAGGCCAACAACTATAATGCCTTCCACACATGCAATTCTGTTGGCAAAACCGAACCCAACACCTCATAAGGGTTGATTTCGGCCCGCGGTGTCCGTTTCCAGTGTCACAGGAAGTGTCAGATGGCTAGAAATACCCAAGTCTGTCTGCGCTCACCACCCTCTGGGGTGGGCCATTTCCTCTTCATTCTCACTCTCAGCCCATTTAAAGGATTTTTCTCTAAGAGGCTACCCCACAAGTGCCAGTGCTCCTATCCTGGCCACCTCTCAAGAAGAGGGTAGCAGGGTCACGTAGCCAAAACCCTAAGCTTAGTAGTCTAGACTCAGAGAAACTGCGAATACCTATTTGACGAGTGCTGGTTTCTTTTTAAGGTTTGTTTTTAAATACACATAGCCCTCCTCCTTCCTTCTTCGCTCTCCTATCCCCCCACCCCCAACCCTCTAGACGCCGGCGGCGCGCACCCTCACGCACGGGCACTCACAGCCTCTAGCTGGAGATCGCGGACTCTGGCAAAGACTCATTAACAGCAAATTAAGCCTTGCCAGACCACGGCCTACACAGGACCAGACTCGGCCGTCTTCGGGACACGGGTACGTGCCCCCTCGAGCGTTCCGGTGGCGGGAAGCCTGCCGGGACCTCGCGTGCCTCGAGCCGCAGTACTCCGCGCACGGCGCCCCAAGGCTCAGTTCGTAAACAACAAGCGCTTGTCGCCGCCCGGAGTCCCCGAGTTGGCGGAGGCTCTGCGGCGCAGCCTCCCGCCCGCTCCAAGAGCGGGGCCCGGAGCGCGTCGGCGCTTCGCCCTTCCCGCCTCAGTCGAGGATCTCGCCCGGGTACGCAAGTTCCTTTTTGCCCGGAGCCTCTGCGCCACACGCCCTCCGAGTGGGACCAACTTCCTCTGGCCACAGACTTTCACATGCCCATCAGGGGTTCCCACCGGACTCCCCACAGCCCAGCGGAGGGCCCAGATCTCGCCCCCTTCTTCCCTCCCCAGACACAAACACATTCTATACCCACCCCTGGGGGCTCATAATTTAAAACCTACCCCTCGACTGCCCAGGGAGGGAGCGGGTCCAGGATTAAAATCCTAAAAGAACATTTACAAAACAAAGCGTCTGACCTGGAGGGCGGGCAGGCGGACCGGCCGAGCCCGAACCTCTGGCTCCGCAACGTCGCCTAATAGTTTCTTCTTCTTTTTTTTTTTTAATCCACGTGATTCGCGTTTTGAGGCAAGCCAAAAAAAAAACCCGGGACTCCCCTCCCGAGTTGTGCGGCGGCGACAGGTCGAGCTCGGCTCGGCCCGAGGCGCCCGCCACACACCCTCGCGCACGCACACGCCGTCGTTCCACTTGGAAGAACGACGGGCCCCCGGAGAGGAGAGACGAGGCGACGGCGGCGGCTGGGGGGTTTTTACAGTTCTTTCCCGAGTCGAAAAAGAAAGCAGACGGGAACTCGCCACCCTCCCCTTCCTGCTCGAGAGCTAAAGCCGAGTCGAGCTTTCCAGCTTCCAGCCCAGCACACCCCCCCCGCGCGCCCGACAATCGCCGCTCAACGGCGACCGCGCTCCCGCGCAGACACACACAGGCTGCAAACTTCCACTCGGCGAACTCTCTGCTCTCCTCCCAGGCCCTCGGGAGACCGCAGGCCTCCCGCCGCGCCCCTCCCTCCCTGGTGCCCGCGCGGGGCCACTGGGGTTGGCTGCATTTCTAATAACTTACAGCTATGAAATAAAAACGAAAGCGATCAAGGCTGCTAAAGAAAAGCGCAAGGCAAAAGCTTCGCGGGGTCCACGAGAGTCGGAGGAGGAATCCGCGGGGGTCGGGGGCCTCTGGGCTGGGGGTCGACTGCAGCCCGCGGCGCGCCAGCCCGCCCGCAGTCTCCCCGGGGAAAGGTGTTCGGGGCACTGACCTGAAATCCCCAGTCGGGGAGTAGGCAGGGAACCTGCGATCCTGCGCTCTGAAGTTTTTCCCGGAGCGGAGTCGAGGCGGCGAGGAGGAACCGAGGGTGGCTGGGTGGGTGGGGAGAGGTGTGCAGAGCCCGGGGGTGGCGACGTTAACGAGCGGAGACGGAGCCGAGCCCGGGATGCGCGGCAAGCAGCAAAGTTTGCCGTCCCCGGCTGCCCGCAGCCCGCTCTCGGCGCCGCGCTCGCTCGCCTCCCTCGCCGTCTGCTGCCAGCCGGCGGCCCTCGGGGTCGGCCCCGCCGAGGGGTGGGCTCACAGCCGCGTGGGGGTGGGGAGGGGTGGGGCGGGCTCGGAGCTTCAGGGCAGGTGGCGACAGTCCCGCGCGGTCCTCACGGCTCCCGCAGCTGGACTGGGCTCGGCCAGGCTCAGCAGCTTCCGCGCCGCCGCTGCCGCCCGCGCTCGGGCAGGAGCCCCAGCGCCATGTTGACGGTTCGCCGCGAGCGCCCGCTCGGGCTGGGCGTGTGTGAGTGTGTGTGTGTTGGCCAAGTCGTCCCTGCTCGGCGACAGCGCGGCTCGGGCTCTCCGCCCGGCGGCTCGCGGGCTCCCCCTCCGCCGCAGCCGCAGCCCGCCTCACTCCCGCTCGGTCGCGGTCTGGGCTCCCGGCGCGTCTCCCCCGCAGCCACCGAGCTCGGCCCGCGTTCAGCGAGGAGCGCAGCTCTGCCTCACCTTGCCGCTGGGAGCCCGGGCTCCGTCTGCCGCCGCACGCCGCGATCCCAACGCGTCCCCCTCCCTGTTCCCTCCTCTTCCTCCTCCCCCTCCCTCCGCCCGCCCTCCCTCCCTCCGTCCCTCCCTCCCTCCCTCCCTCCCAGCAGCCGCCTCCCCTCCCCCCGCCGGCGCAGCGCTCGGGCGACAGCCGCCCGCCCGCCGCCGCCTCCAGCTCTCGCAAGTTTAAGCTCCCCCAGTCTCTGCTCACCCTCCGCTGCGGCGCCTCCGTGGTGGGGTTTCGGGAGGGGTGATTCCCCAGGAAAGGTTTGCCCGAGTTTCCCCGGACATCTATCCGCTCCCGGCCCGGAGCGTTTCGGCGTCTTCACGTCCGAACCCTGGACCACCTGGGTGGCAAACCCCCCCCCCCGCATTCCCACCCCAGCTCCGGCCGAGTAGGCTGCTTACCCTGGGCCAGGGCGCACGTCCTGGGCGAGCCGGAGACTGACTTGGGCGGCGGCGGCTGCGAGGGCGGCCCGCAGAGCCCAAGACGAGGGGACGGGGGACGGCGGGGCAGCTCTCCCAGGCGCGCGCCGAGACCCCTTTTGGTACCCAGAAGGCCAGTGGAGGACCGCAATTACCATAAAGCGCCTCGAACTCCGCTCAGCCAAAGCTGTCAAACCCCAGTGGCAGCCGCCACTGCCGCCTCTCACCACCAGCGCTACGCTCTCCCGGCCTCGCGTCCCCTCCGAGACCCAGCGGAGCCTACCAGTGCGCGCCCGCGTACACTCCACCCCTGATCGCCTCTTTCCCCCCAGGAGGAGCTCGTTCCCATTTCAGTGTCAAGAGCTACCTGAAAACACCACCCGGGGCAACAGTGGCCGTTCCGCCCTAACTCCGCGCCCGAGTTCCCCGGACATTTCAATTGTGTGGGAATTGTTTCAAGGCGGGGGTGGGGCAGGGGCAGCTCTTGGGGGGCACAAGGAGGAGGGGGAGTGGGCGGTACAGAAGCGGAGATCCGTCAGAATTTCTCCTCATTCTCCAGCATTTCACGGTCTGCACCTCAGATGGTAGGAGGGTCTGCCCTGGCCCCTCATTCCGGCCCTGGGAGATTATCTCCCGCGTTTTATTTTCCTTGGCAGGGAGCAACTTTTGGCTAACACCGTTCGCCCCATAAATTTCCACTCGGTAATGTGCTGATCGGTGCTCGGCGGCGGCGGCGGCGGCGGCGGCGGCGGCGGCGGCGGCGTACAGCCTGCGCCCGCAGCAGTTCAATTCAATTGACACGTATTGAGCTTCTCCAGCGCACCCGGCGCGGCGCTGGGCGCGGGGGGAGGGCGGGGGCAGGCAGGCGAGAGAGGGAAGCGGAGAAGCGAGGTTCCGGCCTCCCCGGAGCGCAGAGCCTGAAGGGCGAGCCCAGAGCCCCAGTTCTCGAAGCTGGCGGGAAGGGGCGAGAGTGGGGTAAGGGTGTTCTGGCCTAACCGCACCCACACAGGGGGTTCAGACGTCAACCGCCAAAGGTGACCCTATTTGGTTGCTCACCAGGGTCTTTTTATGCTGGGAGGGGGGTGTGGAGTGCCCCTTCGGCCTAAGGACAAGATGGTTCAGGCTTCGAGAGGACATAAATCCGAAATGGAGGTGGCTTGTAAATCCACACGGAAAGTTTTTGAATATCCTGGAGTGTCCCCATGCCAAAAATAATCAGAAGCATCTCAAGTTGATTACTAAGTCAAGGTCAAGGCCAAAATCGGCTCAAGCTAGCAGATATTTTCCCTTTTAAAAATGAGACTCACTACTGACTGTGGGACTAACATTAGGTGTGATTTTATTCATTCTGTTTTAGTTCTCAGCACATACTTATAAAAACAGCCCTTCTCAAAGCAGAAGTGAAACATCTCTACCGTTTGAAACCCGAAACTTTGGGCAGAATTAAATCTTCATGCTCCAGAGCTGCTTGTAACAACTGATGCAAAAGACAGGCAGGCAGGCAAGTGCCCGCATAAGCAGTGCCCAACCGTGCTGGGCTGCGATCACTTCCAGGACTCGGCGCCTGCAGAATGGAATGCACGATTTTTCTCCCTGGTCTTGCGGGGGGCGGGGGGGGGGGGGATATCTCTGAAAGCTAACCCACACATTTTTTAAATCTCCGGTAACAAGCAGAAAGACACCTGGACTATTATGCTGTAAAGCTATTTTTTATAAAGACATTTTAGGGCCAGGCATTAAAAGTTATTAGACTGAACGCTTGCGAGTTACAGACACAGCTGGAGAAAAGGCCGCTGGTTGTGTTGTAGCCACATTTCTTTTTGAAGCGACTCCTTTTATTCAAAACAAGTCTAAAATAACCGGGAAGCTGGAGTTGAGTATATGTGGAGGAACTCTCAGAATATGGGTCCAGGTGAAAAGGCTGGGTGGGAGAGCTGGCCAGGGCGAGTGCGGAGCGGACGGTGCCAGGCTCTTCTGGCTCGGTTAGGCCGCAAGGCAGAGGCCCTGGCCCCAAGCCCATTCACCTTCTCTCCCCTCCCCGAACCTCCCCAACTCTCCCCCAAGGTACAGGCTTTTCCCAGAGTTCCAAGTCACATATAACTATCCAGAACTTTCAGAAAATCCAGGAGCCAAGCATGGAGCCTGCTGCCTTTTGGAGTCCCTCGGCCTCCCAGGGCTGCTGACAAAGGGGCCTGTTTGTCTAACTTTAAGTCCTCGAGTTAAAATGAATGGGGAGGGGTGCTGTAAATGCGAAGGGGCCGCGGTGAGGGCTGACTGCTGCAGAAATTTGATGCTGGAGACAAACAGGCCAGTAAATTCGCCTTTGACGTAATTTGCAGCACCCTCCCCCCCTTGTAAGGAGTCTCTCGCCTCCACCATATCCTCTGGCGGGCTGGTGGGATTAAAGTTTTTCTCCTCCATCTCCTAGGGATACATTTTCCAACTCTGTGGAATTTAAAAAATATCTTATTAAGGGAGTCCTAAGAGGCGTGAGTGGGGGGGATTCGTGACTCACCGGGAATTAAAATGTGGGATTTTCCCGAGGCGCCCTAAAGCAGAGAGGAGGGAAAGGGCAGGATTACATCTATTGGCCTGGCTACTTGGAATTATTCCGGGGAAGGGAGGTAAAAAAGTGTGGAAGAGCAGTTCGGCCTCCTATCCCCATGCAGGAAGAGGCTCCAGGAGCTGAGGATGCAGCAGGGCCTGCAGCCTGAGCGGGCGGTCCGGCCCTTCCTCTGCTCCCTCCTCCTCTGTCCTCCCTGGAGCCCCACGGGAGCTGACCCTGGGGGTCAGGCCGCTAGGCCTGGCACTCTTCGAAGGGAGGATTTCAATGAAAGCAGAGCAGGAGGCGGAGAGGGCGAGAGCGAGTCAGCACAAGGGAGGCGAGGTCGCGCAGCCAGCGGAGAAATAAAGAAATCGGCGCGGAACTGAGAGGTGCTGTGAGGTGGTGCTGCGGGGGCTGCCCCTCCTCCACCCGCCCCTTCCCCTTGAAAAGGTCCTGTGGTTACAACATATGGCTGGACCTCAGGCGCCCGGGCCGTCTCCTGCTGCAGATTCTAAGCAGGCTATACAACTGGGTAAGCAAGTTGGAGCTTCTGGGAGCAGGCCTGGAGCCTTGCTGCTCTTCGCAAGTCAGCCTGACTGGACAATGCCTGCCAGGGCCTCTTCTGCATCACCACCCACACCCAGGCCTAGAGGAAAGTCCTTGCGTCCTGTGGCGAGGTCCTAGCCCAGGTTTGGGGGACACTGGGCTCCCAACATCGTGTGGGCATTCATTTGTAATGTGTAGGTTGGAAATCCTAAAGCTCTTAGGCCTCTGATGGCCCTTCTGAGGCCAGTCTCAGAGCTACCATACTAGTAATCAGAGTTACAGTAACATGTAGCACTTGAGTAGTTACAGGTAATGTCCTCTTGCTTTACATTACATAAGGTAGCCTGTTAATGTTAACTATCTGTAACAACACAAACATCTGCACTTACAGCCCTCCCTGTTACTTTTTAAAAGACCTCAGGGTTCATCCAATGGCACTGTTACAAAGATATACTGGCTGGCCCTCCAAGCGATGGCATATATCCAACTTTCCCCAAAAATCAAATGAGGTAACGATTGAGATTGAAGGCCCATTCTTGTCCCGGGGATTTCACTAATCTGGAAACATTGAAAGGTTGCTGCCTTCCAGGAAGGATGATGGCTGGACCTGGGTTCATCCAGTTAAGATGGCTGCTCTTTCTTCTGCCTGGCCTTTGGAAGGTCACTGGGTGTTTGGGGCACAGGACAAACATGGTTCACAGCAACAGTTTCTCAGAATTTCTGGTCTGGGCTTGAGTTGTGTCAGCTCCCAAAGCCCAGGCATGTCTACACTGCAGGACTTGTTGTATGGTTGGGATTGACTGAATGGGCACAAACATTGCAAGCTCTTTACTAGGAGGCCCAATCTTGAGCTCAGCCAGGTCCCAGTCTTCCCAACCCAGTCGTCAAAGCCGTCTAGCTGGCCGGATGCTCCTACAGATAAAC